ATCAAGTGAAGTGTTATCTAGTATAAATTGTTATCTAGTGAAAGAAAAAATTTACAAAATAAAATTTTACTTATAAACCAGAAAAAATAATTCATTAGTCCAATAGATAATTAAAATTGTTTTGCTACAAGTTTTCAAGTATTTACTTAAATTAATTACTTGATCATTAATTAAAAAAATAAATTAAACTTTACAATAGTGAATACAATTTATGTAAAGTTATTAGAAATAAATAATTTATATTTGCAATGTTGCAGTTCTCAGCTTTGACTAAATTTATATTAAAAAAAAATATTTTAAAATTTCAATTAAAATATACAATATACTATATTAAATGGATAAATATTATATTATTTATGTTTTACAATATTTATTTTTTATTAAACAAAATATATAATTTTGAATCAACAGCAAAAGTGGTTACAAAAATATTCAAATACAGTTGCAATACAACTATTTTTCAGGATTACTGTCTTAAATCTAATATAAATTATTTGTAAATATTTAAACCCAAACAAGACAAAAATAAGAGAAATACTTTTAATAGAATAAATATTAAATGATTTAATCATATAAATATCTAATAAAATTATTAGTTTAAGTAAAAAGTATTAGTTTTATCTGATTTTTTTAAGTAGCATATTTTTTATTATTTATTTTATTTATTAATTTTTTATACAATTATAAAAAAATAATAATAAATAAAAAGATAATAAAATATGTTTTATTTTACATTTTAAATCGCAGTGAACATAACCTCTTCTATGCAAATACCAAATTCCATTCAAAACATCTTTAATCAAATACGCAATCAGATTTTCAGTGATTGGTCCATTTTTCTTAACAAATTTTAAATCAAATTCTAAAAAAAAATACAAAAAGATTTATATTATTACTTAAATTAAAAAAAGATTTATGTAAGTAACTTTTTTACCAGCAAGAATCATTATTTGATAGCAAGTCTTCAGGTTGCTAGTTTCCAAAACTAAAAGGGGAATGACAATATTTGTAGATTCACCAATTGTTGAAAGAAGAGCCATAGATTTAGCTGTTGCCTTTATGCTTTCCGCTTCCTCAATCTGCATAAATTTAAAAGATAAAACATTTGTAGAAGATTAAAAAAAAGTAACAGCTTATTTATATAATTTTTACTATATTATTCTATTATAAATTTTAACATTTACTATACTATCTTTTTACTATATATAAAATATTTCTGAAACAAACATACTACAAGATTTTTTAATTTACTTTTTTAACTGCCACTCGTGCTCCTCCCCTGTATTTGTTACATAAAATCCAACTATCATATACTGCTCCAAAATGTCCTTTACTTATTTTTTTTTCAAAAACTGAAACTAAGTCATGATTTATTTGAATGATACTGCCAACTGAAAATGTATTCACATTCTAAAGAAAAATTAGGTTTGACTTAAAACACAATTGTATCTTTCCGCATTTGCCTTATGATATAACCTATATGATGTATACATGTATGCACACACATATTTTAGTGTGTGTATGCACACACATATTTTAGTGTGTGTATGCATTCCTGAAAAATTTTATTTGGAAATGATGATGCAGATGATTCAGAATATTTTATGATACTATAATGAATATACTTTACGATACCATAGGGAATAATACCTGCAAATTTTTAGATTATTCAAAAAATAATTAATGGCTCCCTAAAAGTCATAAAGTTTTTCAAATTTGATATAAATTGTTATAAAATAAATTTAATATCTCCAAGAAACAATTAGAGATTTGAAAAAAGAATGATTTGTTTTCTTTATTAGTAAAAACCTAGAAATATGTAACTTTAGTGTACATGCAAATTTAATTTCATAAACAAACAAGACCAAAATCAAGATTTCCGCTAAACTTAAATCATGTGCATAATTTAATACAGCAGTATGTTTTAAATGTCAAATGATAGTTTTTAATAATAAGTTATATATAAAATTTTAATTTATATTTTTCCTTTTTTAATATTAACTATTTAATTTTTAATATTAACTATTTAATATTAACTATTTAAGTCTTGTCCTTTTTTTATGACTGCTTTTAAGTGCTCTAAAAACTCTTATTCATCTAGTTTTTTCCCCTAGAACATCAGTTCTTTAGAATTAGCTTTCTTCATCTTGCTTTCTGATTCATACAATTTGCAAGCTTTTAAGTCATCTGTCAATCATTATCTTGCTCTACAAACTTCATCTTTTCTCTTCCAGTAACTTCCAACTCTTATTGCTTGCAGGTTGCTATTGGTTGTTTGCAGCTCATTGGAAGTGAAGATATAAAAAAGAAAAAAAAATTATTACTATGCCTTAATCTGACTTTGGTTAATTAGGAAGGTGAAAAATTTTTAGAGTACTGGTAAAATTCACTTCAACTTTTAATAGAAACAACAGTTAGTTTATTGGACTTCTTTGTGACACCATCAAAAGGGCGGGCCTTGTTTTCAGTTAAGACATGAGGAACTTTGTATAATTCCACCAGAAGCAGAAAAATTAAAGAACTTTATAACCAGCATGTTGGGTTAATGAAGCATTGAAATAATGCCAAGGATCAGCAAAACCAGGAAGAATATTGCAAAAAAACTAGATAATCTGTTTGACATTAGCCATGCTAATTCTAACAAACTGTCACTTTCTCAATTTCCTGCAAGAGAGGAGAACTTAGTGCAATGGATCAGTTAACAACAAAAAATTTTGTTTAAAAAACAACCAGCTAAATACAAAAAGTAAAGGTGTGAAGACAATGACAACAATACAATAGAATCACTCAATCTAGCCAATCATCATCTAGTTTCTCCAATTTTGAAAATGATGATTTGCTGACAATTCTATGACTTTGGGTAGCAATAAGCATAAATGCACTTGTTGACTCCAAAACTGTCAGCAGTATTAGACAGAACAAATTTTCATTCTAAATTGCTCTTAAATCAACAATGATTTTGTTTTCTGGTGAATGAAATAAACTATTCTACATGTTGGCAATACTTTTAAAAAGCACCACTAACTGCCAACAACAACTACTTCATTGAGAAATTGCCGAAAAGGTGAAGGATGAGACAGCAAATTAGTTGTACACTGGGACATGGCACCTTTAAAGTCATGGCAGTGCAGTTTACTAGTCATTAGAATGTGCTTCAACACTTGAACACCCAACTTGATGGAACTTGTATACTTATGGAGAGTGCCATTGGTTGCTTGTTATAGATAGCCTGTGGAGTGTGTTACTGGTAACTTGTTATAGATAGCCTGTGGCTGTAATATAGCTGAGGTGATGTTGTCTGATGCATTTAGAGTATCTCAGTGTATCCACTAGAAATGATATTTTGATATTGGTTTACCAACAATTAAAACAGAGAAAATACAACTTGTCTCCATAATAAAAGATGATCAAGGATTGCATTTGGTCAAATCTCTTCCTTGTGCAACTGCAGAATTATCCATTTCTAGAAGTTTTTTCTTTTTATTTTAGTAGACGTTTTTCTTGCTATTCTAGTTGCAGGATGCTCTACAAGCCAATTATATCAGATTGCATTTGAGTTAGTCAAAAACCTGGCTTGTGTCAATAATGCTACAATACCTGAGAGCTAACAACAAAAAAAAGTATCTTCTTGTAGGTTGAGAAGCACAGACATGACTTTTTAAAGTACAATCGCAACAACCTTCTAGACATAAAATAAATTGCTAAAATAATTCAAAGTTAGTGTAAAATATGAAGTGCATTTAAACTGTACATCACCTGTGTCACTAAATGTAAAATTTTGTAGGTGGATAATTAATTTTAAAATAATAAAAAATAACCAAATTCTAATAGTTAAAAGTTGGTGTTTAAAATACTTCAAATATTTCTTTTGTTATATTTTTTACTTTTGTTCATAAAAAAAAATTATCTAATAATATCATAACACAGTGTACAAAAAGGTGATTTCTAGAACCTAGATTCTATTAAGACAGTGCTATCTAATATTGACAAATTATTATGAGACCAAATACTATTCTATGACAATCGTCCAAATTAGGAGATATCAATTGCAATTTATGCTAATTTTAGACATCTTTATGACCCTCGGGGAAAAATTGAACAATATTTAAACCATCTAAAAATTTTCAGGCATTATAAGCTTTTAGGAGGGTTTGCATCAAAATTTAAATAAACTTTTTTTATATTGATTATTATGGAACATCTTATATATATATATATATATATATATATATATATATATATATATATATATATATATATATATATATATATATATATATATATATATATATATATATATATATATATATGTATATATATATATATATATATATATATATATATATATATATATATATATATATATATATATATATAAACAATTTTAAAATGTATTCTACAAAATAGAGTGCTCAATGTTCTTCAAAGAACAGGGCAATATTAAATTAGTAGAAAATCACTAATGAGAAATTTTTTCATTTCACATTTTTGTTAAGTGATTTTTTACTAATTTATATATATATATATATATATATATATATATATATATATATATATATATATATATATATATATATACATATATATATATATATATATATATATATATATATATATACATATATATATATATATATATATATATATATATATATATATATATATATATATATATATATATATATATATATATATATATATATACACATAGATATATATATATATACATTTGATGGATTGATTTTACAGGCAAAACCTTTGAGAAACTATCACTAACATTAAATACCCCTGCCTTGAGACTCTTGTTTGAGCAAAAGGCTAGAGATAGTCTCATTAAAAATACTCACCTCTGGCAAGTGTTAACTGCGTCTGTATTTAATGATTATATTTTTAGAAGTTGACTTCATTGCATCTTTACAATTTTCAAAATCATAAAATTTTTTCTTCTTTTTCATCACATATTAAAATCTATAGCAAAATGAACCCATAGAAATAATGTATGACCATTTTTTCCAAAAAATGCATATCAATAGCTTTACAATTGCTTGGAAGGTATCAAGCATTGGGTGCATGTTTCCTGCGATAGTGAGAAAATTGAGGGTTAAAGCTTTTTACATGTTTAATTATTGTTGGTTTTACTAACAATCTTATATATTTTCTTCTTTTTTCCTATATATCTGGATTCTGATTCCTTCGATATTTTCAGCTAAAATTACTCTATATATCATGCTGGCACTTAATAAATCCAACATGGCTAAATACATGCTTTTAAATGCTACTTTTCTTGATTACTGTAAACCAATAAGAGCTCAAAATGTTGATTTTTTCTATATGAATTTTTACCCAATACTTCATTTTATTTCTTGTTTAAAAACTGGTCCAAATGTGTTCTAGAAAAATTTATTGATTTTCTTTTGAAAAATTTATTGAATTTAGAGAATGATATTTCAAATCTTTGATGAGATGCTTTTTTCATTTGAATTTCATGTCAAGATTTTCTCAGATGGCGTTTTTAGATAATTCCTTTGGGTGAACATAATATAAAAACTGTATATATAAATACTTGATATATAAATATCTTTTTTATGTGAGCTTTAGTCTGATTTGTTAGACTTTATGTTTCAATAAAAATGATGGTAATAACTAAATATTAAAAAAAAATCAATTTTAGCATTTACTAAATGCTAAATGATTCTATTCAGGCTAATTGATTCTATTCAGGAATAAAATTTATTGAATACTTTATTTTAGACATCATAACATCATTGAATTTATTCAGACTGCGTAAAAACTTATAGAGACATTATTTACAACGGATTCAGAGATGATTCTGTCATCAAATCATAAATTTTATGGAAGTTAAAACCATAATTGAATTTAAAAATCTATTGAAATTATTACTACATTTGCGTTGTATTCCAATAACACTTTAGAATATTTTGTTCTGATTTTTTAAACAATAAATTATTGCACATACACCATTCATTTTTGTATATACACCGTTTATGATTTCAATTCAAAATAAACAAAAAAAGAAATGATTTCAATTAGAAACAGTATTTTTATCTGGCACTAAACTCTAGATTAACTTATTCAGATATACTTATTCATATAAACTTCTAGATTACTAAATCTCATAATTTATCTCAAAAATTAGGTTCTAGAGAATTTTGGAAAATCTTTAACAGTGTCATCAACTAAGGAAAATCTAATATTCCACCTTTAATTCATAAACCTGATCTTATAACCTTTCCCAATTTTCTCATTCATTTTCATTAACTACTGGGGTGTCACAAAATTCCATCTTTTGACCTATATTGTTTCTCACCTATATTGATAATCTTCCTGACAATCCTGACAAGTGGCCCACTCTATCTGTTCCTTTTTGCTCTGAAAACATTTGGTCATCTGGATTTATTCCTCGAACATGAATGCTTTAAATTTCTCTCCTATCTCTATGGTTTATCATAGACTCCTGAATCATACAATCTATAATACTATTAAGACTTTTATCAACCACTCTCTTTGGCTTTTTTTTTTCTTCCTGTAACGCATAACTTAAATGGTGGTTGCTTGCAGCCTTGATGGAATTGAAGGAACCTTGATGGGATTGAACCAACCTTGATGGGATTGAACCAACCTTGATGGGATTGAACTAACCTTGATGGGATTGAACCAACCTTGATGGGATTGAACCAACCTTGATGGGCTTGAACCAACCTTGATGGGATTGAACCAACCTTGATGGGATTGAACCAACCTTGATGGGATTGAACCAACCTTGATGGGATTGAACCAACCTTGATGGGATTGGTTCAAACAACAATAACAAATAAAAAGTATGATCTGCTAGATAAGACTTTTTTTTTAAATTCACCTCCTCAAGGCCATGAAGGCCACTACAGTCGAGAAAGCTGCTTTTAGTTGTGGTTACAACTCTCTCTCAACTCTATAATTCTAAAACATGAAACTTGATGAACAAGGTCACTGGGCAGAGGAGCAAATTCAGCACGGTACTACCAGGGATATGGTAGGGATCGAACTCGAACTTTGCTTATTTTATTATTATTTATTAAGCAAATAAAAAAGAGGAGTAAACTCTGGCTCAGTACTTCTTTTTAAATGTTATTTACCAACCCATAGCTGAAAGAGCCACTTGATTGGAGGAGGCTACTTTATTGTGGTTACAACCTTCTCTCAACTCTTTAACTCAGAAACACAAACCTTGAAAAACAAAGTTGCTGCGTGACTTTGTTTTTCAAGGTTTGTCATTATAATATGTATAGACAATATAAAAAAGTGTCCACCATTTTAAAGCAATTAATTTCTGCAAATGCATAACTGCATAAACTCGGACGTTTATGACCCAACCTCTGACCCAACTTCCTATATTTGGCATCTGAGAGTTAATTTCATAGCAAGAAGTCTAATACATTTAATCAACTGAGAAGAGGAGATAAAGGAACCAGTTAGAACTTGTTATTTGATAAAGCAAGAAATAATATAGTTTATTGATAATTCAACATTATATCAAATTTCTCATTTCATGGCAAATCATTTAAACACACTGCAATTGAACAACACACAGGTCACCAGAGCTTCAATATTACCTGACAAAAAAAATTAAATTTAAAAATAAAGAACATTTTTGTTCTCCAAATCATAAGTAAAAAAAAAAAAAAAAAAAAAAAAAAAAAAAAAAAAAAAAAAAAAATAGATATAAAGGTATATATATATATATATATATATATATATATATATATATATATATATATATATATATATATTATATATATATATATATATATATATATATATATATATATATATATATATGTATATATATATATATATATATATATATATATATATATATATATATATAAACATCATTCAGCATTTACTATAAGCATTTTAAAAATATTTTCAAAAAGTTTTTGTAATAGTGTACTTTCTCAATGCAGAGGAAAGCTAGAAAATAAAATCCTATGAATTTGTAAAGTATACTATAAAATTTTTAAATATTTTTTAAAGATTTTATTATAAAAGAACAAAAAGTCTTAAATTTTTCTTTTATATTAAAGATTTTAATATAAAAGAAAAATTATTAGCAATGTTAAAACCTAATATATGTTAAAAATATTTTGTGTTTTTTGAGGTTTAATTGAAATTTGTTTTTTTTTTGTGAAATATTGAAAATTTATGGTTCTAATATATATAACTTTACATGTCGACACATGTAAAGTTATATAAATAAAATATTTTATGTGGAATAACAAATTTTTGATATAAATTACGTCAAAATAAAAACTTATTTGTTTACCCAGCAAACCATATTTTCAGCATATAGCGCTATGTTGACTTGATATCAATTATATACCAATTTAGTATCAACTTACACCTGTTTTGTCAAGGTTCTTTGAATTATAGTGTCAAAGATTTTTTGTAACTTCTTTATTTGTTTTTCTTTCTAATACCAGTAGAGCTGATAGAGCCAGTAGAGCTGGTAGAGCCTGTAGAGCTTCATATTTTTTTTTATTTTATGTAGTCTCTTTGATGTTTTCAAACATAAGAAAATAATTTTAATCTTTTTTCAAAAACACAAAACAACAAAACCAGATTTTATGGTTATTATTTATATTTGTGTTAATGTGTTATTGCTTATGTTGTTTTTGATATCATTAATATTACTGATAATATCGTAATACCAATAGTATTCTAATATACATAACAAATCATAATATGTCGTTTTTCTTTTTAGCTTTCTATCAATATAGCTTTATTACTATATATTTACTTTAAAAGCTTTTAATAAAGCTGCTAATTTAAATCCTTGTTTTTTTCTGTTGTTAAATGTTTTTATTGGGAAGAGAAGGACATGAGTATACATTGCCAGTGTGTTCTTTTTTTTTTTTTTTAGATAAATATTTTTTCATTATTTATGGAACAAAGCACATTGGAACAAAAACTAATTATAAATATCATAAAAAATCAGTATGAATGAAAGTCTAGAAATAAGTATGAATGAAATTCTAGTTTATATAATTTACTTGCAAACTATTCAATAAATATTGTTTTCCTTTTTATATTTATAATACAAACATCTAAAAAAAAAAAAAAAAAGATTTACTTAGTAAATCAAAAAAAAATTGTTTTCAATAAAAATTTATCTTAGTAACTATGATATTTTTATTGTTTAAAATTTTTTTTTAAAAAAAAAACCTAATTTATTCAGAATTAATTTACCCAGTTATGATATCAAACTAATTTAATTAAAGTTTTAATACAAACAACTTGTCTTTTTCTTTTGTTCTACCTTTCTATGCAAAGTGCAAGTGACACTATAAATATGTGTAGATCTTTTTAAGGCTTTTAATGCAACAATAGTTCTTATAACTCGTCTCATAACGGCTAAGGATAAAAAACTATTAATAAAACAAATCTTTGTATACAGACAGCTAAAACTCACCAATTCTTACAAGGATTAATTTAACATTTATGTAATGAAATTTGTATATAATTCTATTATTAGTAAGTAATTGACAAAACTTAACATAAAGAATGCGTTGAAGCAAGAAAACAATATTAAGTAAAGTTTTATATTTTTCATTCTACATTTCTGATAATGAGAAGAAAAATAAATACAACTAAAAGCTTACAGAAAACTTTATGCGGAGTTGTTGACTTGAATCAAAAACAGGTTCTGTCTTCAAGTTTGGTTTGAGATGTTTTTTTACAATCATCCTAGTAATAAAAAGGTAAAACTATATATATCGTGTGAAGAGTGAAGATAACCATATATATATATATATATATATATATATATATATATATATATATATATATATATATATATATATATATATATATATATATATATATATATATATACATATACATATACATATACATATATATTTATATATATATATAATATATATATACATATACATATACATATATATATATATATATATATATATATATATATATACATATACATATATATATATATATATATATATATATATATATATATATATATATATGTTATATATATATATATATATATATATATATATATATATATACATATAATATATATACATATATATACATATATGATAGATTGCCTGTCGAAACTAAAACCCTCAATTGATGTAGCACTTCCCACATGTTCTACCTATTTATAGAATAAATCTAGCAGCACTGCTTGTAACATGCAAGGAGTGCTGATAGATCAAATAGGTCTAGCAGCACTGATTGCAACATGCAAGGAGTGCTGATAGATGGAATAGCTCTAGCAGCTCTCCTTGCATGTTGTAGCACTTCCTTGTATGTTGTAACAATTGTAACACTTGTAACATCTGATAAAAGTAGTATAACTATTACATTAAAACTCTTCTAACATAATCAATTCACAAATTAATCACTTCTTTTCTCTCAACCGCTTACAACTAAATATGTTGAAGAATATAGATTCTTGAATATAGTTTTTTTCTTTATTAGGAAAATATTAATTAATAATTTTCAATTATTAGCTATGTTATTTATTAGCTATATAAAAATCATTTTTATAATTAATTATAATAAACTATAATTATTGAAAAGTTTAAGAAATACAGCAAATTCCTGTTTACTTGAACTTTCAAGGGAACAAAGAAAACGGAATTATATAAAACAGTTTGAGAAAACTAAAGTTAAAGTTAATAGGCGATAGACTTACTGACAATTAACTGTACAACGATAAGCTGAGATCATAGAAATAGTCCATCAAACAAAAAAATAGATAGATGAATAGATGATTTGCTCTTTCGCGCGGAGATTTTCTTTCAACGTAAAACATTTTTGAATTTAAATTACTTTCAATCTCTGTGTGGAAAATTTTTAAAAGGTCGTTAAAGCAAGAAGTTGAAAAGGGAAAAGACCTTAATTCGAATTTTTTCTTTATTCTAACAAAACAGCCTGGTTTTTATCTTTGTATATGAAAATTTCATTTTTAAAATAAGGCTTAAAAACATTAGAGCAAAAAAATTGCTGACTTTTATTTGCATTTTTATACTGTTTGACAAAAAAACTAATAAAAAAGAATTAATTATTATTATTATAAATTCTAATAATTATTAATTAATATATTATTAGTTAATTCTTTTTTATTAGATTTTTTTCAAACAGTATAAAAATGCTAATAAAAACCAGCAATATTTTTACTTCAACGTTTTCAAGCCTTATTTTAAACATGAAGTATAATTCGATTTATTAAACCAAATTTTTTTGTTACACTTTTTATTGGAAAACAATTGAAATAGAGAAATTGAATTAAAACATCAACTTAAAAACGTTTTAAATGAAAAACTTAATTATATTTAAACTTTTATTAGTCCTTTATTCAAGAAACAATAAATTATAAAAAATGTGGTATCTAATTTTTTATTAAGTTTTTGACAAAGTTTTTTGATTTATTGACAATAATTTTTTAATTTAATAATTAAAACAATTTCATTTATTTGCTTCGTTTTATTTTAAACGCATTTTATGTTATTAAACTGTATAAAACAGCAATAAAATAGCATCACGAAGTTGTTTTACATTAACACAAGCTATTTTTTCACGAATTTTTGGTGAAGGATGTTGAAATATTTTTGAATTTTGTACCATGTTTTTGAATTTTGTACCATGTTTGCGTCTAAGTAAAAACAATTACTTAATTAATAGTATTAAATACGTTACTTGCTCATTACACTGTAACTGCAACTTAAACTTTAAATTAAGCTGTAAATTATAACAGTAACTTACGCTATTTTAAACTCCGCCAAACAAGAAAATCATAAGATAACATTTAAATATGAGAGATAGTATGTTAAAAGATAACAATTACGTGCTAAAGAGACAATTTTATACTCAAGCAACCCCCTCCCCCCATTACCGCACATCGACGCAAGCTATAAGAGAGAGGGGGAGAGAAAAATTTTTTTTTTTCGCGATTAGATTTTTTTGCATTAATTCGAGCCCTGTCTTAGTTTAATTTCTAATAAAATGTGTATTCAACCTTATCAATTTAAACCAAAAAAATATAGCAAAATTAACATAAATGTTAATTTAACTAAAACATTTTACAATAATTTTTTTTTTTTTATCAAGCCAAAATGAGAATAACCGTCACTTTCGAAACCATAAAAATGACTGAAATAAATTTATTTTTGTACTTAGGAAATATTTTAAATAAACTTTCATGTGTCTACATCAATATTCATTTGTTAAAAACTGACTAAAAAGAGTTTAAAATTTGACTTCTATTTATTTTTGGCCGTGGAATTGCACTTATAATACAAATATATAAATAAAAACTATTAAAAAAAATTTAATATGCAGATATATTTTCACAAAATGCTACGAAACTTATTCTTGTAAGTAATTATGTGTCAGTTAAAAAAAAAAACATTACTTTTAAATTTAATTACCAACTAATACGTTTGCTATAATGACATTTTGTCTACTTTGTTTAATTTGACAAACAAACGTTAGTTTTTTGAGGCAATTGAGTCAATAAACTTTGGACAAGACGCATTTTTTTAAATTAAACAAAAGCGTTTTTTTGAAAATTAAATTTGTTAGTGCTTGTTCATTATTACGTTTTAGAAAAAATAATATACATCAAACATTTTTCATATGAAGTCATATCTTTATAGCACTTAGGGAACCCTTTAAACTATAATGCATTATTATTACAATTAAATTATAATGCATTAAAGTAACAGGTTGTTTATCATCAGCATACGGCTCCATTAGGTTATGCAATATATCTTTGTATTTGTATTGATCTAAATTTCCATCAATTTCGAAAAATGTGTAAAAAATCCTAATGTTGTTGAAACGTATTCTTTGTCAACCAAAATCATTAGAATGTCTATACATGAAAAATATTAGAATCACTTACAAGTTTTACTCAGTTTAAAGCATGTGTTTCTCAGTTTAAAGCATGGGTTTAGGTTTTTGAACTAGATACTAGTAAAAAAAAATGATTTTAATGTCATGTTACAAGTTACTTTTGAAAAGTAAAAAAAAACTTGAGATTTTTAACGAGTTTATTGAATAATTTTTAATTTTAAGACAAGTTTGCAAGATTTTAATATTTTTACATATTCAGTATGACTTGGTTTTGTTAATAATACTATAACATAAAAAGTAGAATAATTAATTTGCATAAAGAATAAACTAATAATAAATAAAATAACTAAAAATTAGAATCATAATTTTAAAAAGAATCATAATATATAAATTTAATACTTTTTAAAAACACACTGTTTCTTAAAATGTAGATCCTCGTGTACACATGTTGACAACATTAAATGACTGGACCACTGCTGTTAATAATAAAAAGATAACTGATATCGTCTATATAGACTTTGAGGAAGTCTTCGAAACTGTGTCTCACTCTAAATTACTATTTAAACTGCGTTGTTACGATATCAAGTATGAGTAGCAAAATAATTACAAACTTCTTGACAAATCGTTCTTAATGTGTTTGCATTAATGATTCATACTCAAACAGCATTCATGTAAAAAGTGGAATACCGCAAGGAACTGTTTTGGGACCCAATTTATATTTAATTTTTATAAATGATATAACCTTGTGTATTGAGGGGGATTATGGAATCAAACTTTTAGCAGACAACAGCAAGTTGTATTAAGCAAGAAAAGACATATATAATATCAACCTTATAAATACTTTAAAGAGAATTTCAGAATGGTCAAATAATTGTCAACTCAATATATCTACCAAAAAATGCTTTTACCTGCGATACAAAAAGAATCTATTACCAGAACATTCATACTTATTGGATATCGACACGCCTACTGAATTAATTGATTCAATCCAAGATATTGGGATATTTATTTTTTCTGATATGAAATTTTTTTAAACACTGTTTTAACATTGCTAGCAAAGCAAGTTCTTGTGCTCAAAGTCTTTCATCAGTAATGATTCCCAACTTTTGATAAGAGCCTATAAAGTTTATATTCAACCAATTTTAGAGTCATGTACCCCTGTGTGGAATCCTTATCTCTTAAAAAATATACGTCAGGTAGAAAAGGTCCAGAAACATTATAAAAGAATTGACAGTGTTGTATTCCATATAAATATTATGCTTTAAGACTTGATATCTTCAATCTTGACTTTCTTGAATGCTGGAGAATAAAATTTGATCTTTTAATGACTTATAAGATTATGCACAACTTAGTTAGGTTGCCTTTTTCTAAGTTTTTACTCTCGCTCATTATTCAACTAGATGTCATTCCCAAAAATTAACATCACATAACAACTACATCAATGATATAAGGAGATTTTTTTCAGTGAAAGAGTTACTAAGATATCGATTTCTTTACCTGATTATATGGTGTATTTTTCTTCATTGTCTCTATTTAAATTGAATTTAAAAACATACAATATTCAGAAAAACTGTTTACTGTTTTAAACTTGGTGTTACATAAGAGTAATTCTTTAATTACCTGTACCGCCTTTTTGTATTTTTATTTAAATGCAAATAAATTGAAATAATAATATAATATTATTATATTGAACACATCCTTTTGCACATTTCTCATATGCAGCCTAGATCTTTAAAAATCTTAGTTATTAATTCAAATAAGGGGTGCGGAGTACCAAAAGGACTCCGGCTTTATAACTTTATTTTTTTACCGTCTCTGGTGTCCAGAAGCTCTAAACACGTTGGTTGATTAATGATCTGCTATAAGAAAAAAAGTTGATATCAATAAGTTCCAAGTCATTAAATGACTTAGAACTTATTAATTTTAGGCCTAGAGTTCTTGCTGCCATTATACTTAAGGATTATGGGTTCAAAAATTTATTGCTCTTCTATAAGTCTTGATTTTTCCCCCATTAGTAGTCAATAAGCTTTTTTATATTTTTAAAGCTCCTGGATACCAAAAACTTGAAAGAAGTAATCTTTTTATGACTTACAAATCTGGAGTTCTTGTTTAGACTCTGCATCCCTGATTCAAATTGTTTACTACATTTGTGATCCAGAACTTATGTCATATAGCCTAATCAATGATAGCCTTAATTAGTTTTTTTTTTTTTTTTTTTAATTTTAGATGAGCTAGAAGTTCATCAGATACAAATGCCCCCCCCCCTCCCTTTCCATTAAATGAAACTTCATCTGATACGAATCCTATTCAAAATGGTCAACATTCAGAGAACTTCTTACAAAATCTCTTTGATGAATATATAAATAATAATATATTAAAAAAACATATTTAAAAACCATAATATCCAGGGAATGTACTTGAAATTTAAAAATGACACACTAAAACATGCTGAAAATGCATTAAGTGTTTGATTTAAACAATATTTATAAAAATTTACAAATTACTTTACACAAAGCCATTAAATGAAACTTCATCTGATACGAATCCTATTCAAAATAGTCAACATTCAGAGAACTTCTTACAAAATCTCTTTGATGAATATATAAATAATAATATATTAAAAAAACATATTTAAAAACCATAATATCTAGGGAATGTACTTGAAATTTAAAAATGACACACTAAAACATGCTGAAAATGCATTAAGTGTTTGATTTAAACAATATTTATAAGAATTTACAAATTATTTTACACAAAGCCATTGTCTTACGCTTTTTAAGTTGTTTATTCTAATATTTTCATTATTTCACATGTGGTATCAAACTTTTTTTATCATTACGTATTACGTGATTGACCAGAAAAGTGCCAAAAATAAAATAAACGAAAATTTAAGATATAATACATAAGTTGGCGATAAAATTTTTTGGAATTTTGTAAAAATTTAAGGTATTTTGTAAAAATTTTCAAAAATAACTATTTTTCTAAATTAGATAAAAATTTAAAATCTTACAAATATTTCGGTTTTTGGTATGTTTTTCAACCAAAATTTTGATTTTTACTGAAACTATAAAAAAGTATTGAAACCAAAATTACAGCAGAAACAGAATTTCAGTCGATTTCTAATTACGTACCTTGTTAAACAAGTCAAATATATACTTTTTAATTTCTAATTACGTACCTTGTTAAACAAGTCAAATATATACTTTTTAATTTCTAATTACGTACCTTGTTAAACAAGTCAAATATATACTTTTTAATTTCTAATTACGTACCTTGTTAAACAAGTCAAATATATACTTTTTAATTTCTAATTACGTACCTTGTTAAACAAGTCAAATATATACTTTTTAATTTCTAATTACGTACCTTGTTAAACAAGTCAAATATATACTTTTTAATTTCTAATTACGTACCTTGTTAAACAAGTCAAATATATACTTTTTAATTTCTAATTACGTACCTTGTTAAACAAGTCAAATATATACTTTTTAATTTCTAATTACGTACCTTGTTAAACAAGTCAAATATATACTTTTTAATTTCTAATTACGTACCTTGTTAAACAAGTCAAATATATACTTTTTAATTTCTAATTACGTACCTTGTTAAACAAGTCAAATATATACTTTTTAATTTCTAATTACGTACCTTGTTAAACAAGTCAAATATATACTTTTTAATTTCTAATTACGTACCTTGTTAAACAAGTCAAATATATACTTTTTAATTTCTAATTACGTACCTTGTTAAACAAGTCAAATATATACTTTTTAATTTCTAATTACGTACCTTGTTAAACAAGTCAAATATATACTTTTTAATTTCTAATTACGTACCTTGTTAAACAAGTCAAATATATACTTTTTAATTTCTAATTACGTACCTTGTTAAACAAGTCAAATATATACTTTTTAATTTCTAATTACGTACCTTGTTAAACAAGTCAAATATATACTTTTTAATTTCTAATTACGTACCTTGTTAAACAAGTCAAATATATACTTTTTAATTTCTAATTACGTACCTTGTTAAACAAGTCAAATATATACTTTTTAATTTCTAATTACGTACCTTGTTAAACAAGTCAAATACTTTTTAATAAGGATTTTTACTCTTCATTAAAAAAAAAAAATACATTCATGAGAGAAATTAAATAATAAAAAAAAAAGAAATAAAAAAAATTACTTAATAGATGCACATTCAGGAACTTTGCAGTTTGCTGCATATTTGCAGCTAAGAGAATGATGAAAAACCAAAGTCTTCATTGAGTTTTCTTCATTACCGTTTATAGTCGAATAAACTTTTTGCGCCACATATTTCTTTATCTCTTCGCATTTAAAATGCCCGTTAGTACATTTTATAGGACATTCATTGAAAGCATACTCAATTTTTTCTTTAAACTTTAAAAAAATAAATGCTCTACATTAATATTTAATTTTTTTTCCAGATAATGCAATTAGTAATGAAATTTTTTAGTTTTTTTAATAACCATAAACTCTATTTTTATTACTAAACTCAATAGTTGTTAGTCAATGAAAAATACTTATATTGATCTTAAAATTATGATATATAATCTCATTATAAAACCATATTATAATTATTATTGTTATCATTATAGTTATTATTATTGTTCAAAATTATAAATTCATTTGATTAATCATAAGATAAAACTAGAAAAATAAAGCATACAATTTGATGTTATAATAAAAATTACAACAGTCTGAAGGAATTCTGCGGCATACAATTTGATGTTATGATAAAAATCACAACAGTCTGAAGAAATTCTGCGGTGATCAAATAATTTAAATCAAAAAAATGACAAAATAAGAAAAAAAAAAAAACAATAAATAAAAATAAATAAAAAAAACAAGAAAATAAGATATAAAATATATTTTTATCTTATAAAAATTTTAATCATTATTTTTTTATAAATCAAATATAACCGTCAAATAAATGCAACAAACACAGATATTTATATAAAATTAAAAAGCAGTTTAAAAACTTAAAAAATCGAATTTAGACCACTTATATTTATTTTGAAACAAAGCAAAAATAACAAATAATAGATATATAAAATACAAATATAAATGTTACAATATAAACAGAAAAAATAAAGAGGACGGTGGCATTGCAATATACTTGAAAGATAATTTAACAACTACATGTCTGAATCTTAGGCTATATGCAATTAATTCCATTGAAAAGGCCTGGTGCTCACTAATTATTGGAACTGAAAATATTTTGATAGGATGCATTTATAGACCACTTGATACACTGTACAACTAACTATATAATAAGTAATGAAAAAAATGATATAGACTGTAATAATTACTCAAAAGTTATTATCGTAGGGGATTTAATTACCCAGAGATTCAATAGAATAATGATGGACTAACAATACTTAAATCGAATTGTGAACAGAGATTTATAGTATGATAATAAAGTATAATTATAATAATAAAATAATAAAACATGACGATTTATGCAACATTTATACCGAAAGAACCTTTAGTTCAAAATATTTCTTGCTCTTTCCTAACATTCCTAAAAATATTTTTTAAATGATCAAATTAAACCATAACCTATGGTTTAAAAGCAATAAATTTTAAAAATCTTATTTACTAAATGAATACAAAATTATTATTTGGGTGATACCAAGGTCTATAAAAAAATTTAAAATTGAGTATAAAAAACAACTATCAGATAAAATCAAAACTAATCTAAAGTTATTTTATTCATACGTTAAAACCATAAGAAGTACATTACCCTAAATACAATCAATAAGAGACAATATAGCTACTCACAAAAAAGACTAATAAATAACTTTTTATTAGTCTTTTTTGTGTAAATTTATTTAAAAATATTTTCAATAAGTTTTTGTAAAGATCACAATAAGTATTTTATTGTCTATATTTTATTATTATATACTATACTACTATTATTGTTGATAGTAAAGATAATGCAATAACAAACTTGGATTGGAATGATACAACTACTCAAACATTGTCAGAGAACTACATAGTCTTAATGAAAACAAATCTTTTAAACCTTTTAATTTGTATGTTCTAAAAAATTATGCAGAATCATCAGCACTCCTAATTTCTTGGATTGTTAATGATTTCTGAATCAGCCTTTTGTAAACTTTTAAAAAATTTAATTCACAAAATCATATTGAATCATCTGAACAAATATGATTTAATTTCTAAATAACAAAATGGATTTGTTAAACAAAAATCATGTTCCACAAACTTGCTAGAAACTTTGGACATAATTAATGGTAAGGGGGTCAACTTATTATAAATAGATTTTGAAAAAGCTTTTGACAAAGTCTACATAAACATAATTAGAAAGACACATAGGTATATTGATACCTGCTGATCTAAAATGGCACAAGCAAATAAAATCAGCAGTTACTAAAGCACAAAGTTCACTGGGTTTAACCATTTACTTATTTAAATTCAGCCATTTACTTATTTAAATTCAGTTAAATCATTGTATTTTACACTGTAACCTTATCTCAAATTTGCAGTACTAATCTAGAATCCAACTCTAAAAAATGATATAGTAGAACTTGAAAATGTGCGAAGAAGAGCCACAAAACTTACTACAGATCACAAAAACCTGAAATGAAGAAAGACTTCAAAAATTAAAATTAACTACTTTAGAAAATTGCTGAATTAGCGAGGATTGCAGAAAATTGCTGAATTAGCGAGGATTGCAGAAAATTGCTGAATTAGCGAGAATTGCAGAAAATTGCTGAATTAGCAAGGATTTAATGCATTTTGAATTGGTTCAAAAATTTAAAATTGGTTACCTCATTAACAAACAACAGTCCTTCATCAAACATACATGGGCATAGTAAAACAATAGAACATGAAAAATGTATGAATGTATAAAATTTAATGTGTTCCTCAAGAAATAACTTCTTCAACAACAGTATAACTAAAAAAACTGGAATTCTTTGCTAAACTATGTTATTCTGTTGTTATTTAAACCTAATTATGACAATTTATAACATTAGCAGCTGTTATAGCATCTCAGAATTACTCTGCAACAATGCATATATTGTTATTACAGCAAATATAATAATATTAACATATTAATACTGTTATTAATATTACTATTATCAATTAATTTCCAATTTAAAACATTAAATATTTTAAATAATTATCCAAAGTCAACAAAAATCAAAATTTAATGATTCATACAATGCGCAAATAGATTTAGTATAATATTTTATTGGTTGATTTCTAAATTACCGCACATATTTTTCAAACCTTTAGTAATTATTATTGTTTCCTTATAATTTTTTTATTTTATTTATAATATCTAAATCAACTGGTATTTAAATAAACAACAAATTAAAATATGTTTTAACAGTTACTATTTTTGCAAAAGCAAATTAATTTTTTTGTTTTTTTATTAGTTTAATTTTACCATTTCATTAAAACAGTATTCACAGTCATTTAATAAACTAAGAATTTGAAGACCAGAAATATTTACAAAACTCACAATCTGAAATCACATAATTCACACTTTTTTAATAATTATGAAAAATTAACAGAAACTGAAAAAAAAAAATTAAAAAATCTTTTCAAATTTTACTTATTAATTTATGTATACTTGAGTAAAAAATTATATAAAGATGAGCATACGTTATAAATTGGCTGCATATCTGACAAAACTTAAATACCACTATGGCTATAAATAAAATCAATCAATCAAAGCTGTTGCATCTACTCCTGGAAAAACAGAATAACTTTTAATAAACACCTTAAATATATAATATAATCAATAAAAACCTGTTAAATATATAATACAAGTCTCAAATAAAGTGAAACTGCAATATCCGAAAATATTTCTGGTCATTAAATTCTTAGTTTATTAATAACCGTAAACATTGTTTTAATGTAAAAATAATAACAGTCAAAACATTCATATTTGTAATTATTATTATTAAAACACCAGATAATTTAAGGATTACAAATAAATTAAAAAAATTATAAAAAAATTATTACTACTAAAGGTCCAAAAAATTTGCCCGGTAAAAAATAACCAATTAAAAATGATGTTAAAGCTATTTGCACATTGTATAAAATATATGAATTTTGAATTTTATTTAGGGGAGATTTTAAAGAATAATTTATTTAAAAATATACAACATAACCAATTTTCATAATAATTTATTAAAAACCAAGTTTTAATTATAAAATATGAAACATCAAGTACCTTTTCAAAATTGTCATTTTGCACACATTCTTCACTGATTTTTTCCTAAAAATTTAAAAACTATATTTAACAATAACTTTAAATTGTATTAAAATAATTTATTGAGCATTATTTATTTTATTGAACAACAAAATACAAAAATAAAAAACAAACATTTATATTAAAGAGGATGTTGAAATATTTAAGATTTCTAAATACTTCAAACACAATAATATCAGCTTTATTAATTACGTTTTTTTTTACAACATTTTTTCTTATAAAAAGAAAACTATCAAAAAGAGAAGAAACCCTCAGGCAAGTGGCCTACAGGAATATAAGACTGTATCACTATGGGTTGTTGGCTATACAACAGGATATTATCTTAATTAATATCTACTGACAGATAAAAGATAAAAACAACTACTGTTATTATATATAAGTATTGTTTCTATTTTTAAAAACAATTAATATAGTTATATATAGAATAGATAGTTATGGCTCTTTCAAATGATTTAATTTTAATTTTTTTAATTTTTTTTTTTGTAGTTTTTTAGGTGCTTCAATAGTTCTTTATAGTCATGGAGCACCGTGGGAGAGCATTTAACTAAAAGTTCACAACTTCCTTACCAATCTCTTTTTCTTCCTTAGTTCTTTTCTTAAAAATGTTGCTTATTGGGCTGGAGACAGTGACTAACCTTTGACCTCTGGGTTCTGAGCCAAAACTCTAACTACTGCGCCACAGCTGCTCTAATCTAACATCTAATCAATCATTTTACTAATGATTGATTAGATGTCAAATTACTAATATGTTAGATACTAATGATGTCAAGGTCTTTGAGTCTTTAATTAAAAAAATCTTATTCAAAAAACTCATCAAGTGAAAGAACTACATTCTGACTATCAATAAAATTTTCTCCATGATTAACTATAACTATAGATCAATATTGTGTTAAATGCATAATTTGCGGACTATTTACGCAAAAAAGATGTCGATCTTTTACTTGCAGAAAAGATATAAAAGAATATTAGGCCTTGCTCTTCTGGAAATATTTAAAATTTGAATTCAAAAGTGAAGAAACCATGATTTTGCACACTTAGGTGGTGGTAACTGTACAAGATCATGATTTTTTTATCTGTTTATGGGCAATTGCTATATGGCAACTTAATAAAATTGGTTAGAGTAAAAGCAGTCAAACTAATCACCGAACAATAAAAATTAAAAACACTTTTTTAATTTTTAAAATTTTTAAACTACTTTTTTTAAATAATATGAAAAATACCAAAAACCACATTATTTATTAATTTTTTTTTTGTTGTTGTTGTTGTATTTCAAAATATGAAAACAATAAAAATAAAAAAAAACTGCTCTTGCCAGAAATTCTGTTAAAGCAGATCAATATAAAATACATAAAAGATGTAAGATTCGACTAATGTAAAGTTATTTTGAAGACCACAAATATTTGTTATAGAAAAAACATAAAGCTAACAGTATAGATGATTTTGGATCGAGCGTTTTGAAGAAGGGGATGAGTTTATTTGAAGCTACCTGTGCAATAAGGTGCAGTGAATTTTTTTTTTTTTTTAATTTGCCTGGGTGTGAAAAAGTTATCTATTTATGTCAGAAATACTCTGTAAAAATTGCAATGCTCTAGGAAATTATCTTGAGGTGCCCCAAGGACTTTGAAATCCCCCAAAATCCCCAAAAAGTGACCTACAGAAAAAAATTTAGAAATTTTTTTTTGTTTGATATTCATTTTGCCTGGGTGTGCAAAAGTTGTCTATTCATATCAGAAATACTCTGTAAAAATTGCAATGCTCTATGAAATTATCTTGAGGTGCCCCAAGGTCTTTGAAATTCCCCAAAATGTGACCTACCAACTACGCAGTATGGAGCACGGACTACCGAGATAGACTAAGACTTTTTTTTTAAATTTGTGTGTGTCTGGGTGATATAATATTATTATTTAGTGCTATATAGTTAGCTGCTATAATGCTGCCATCTGACAAGTGAATGTGCATGTATTATTATGTAAAATACAAACGGCGTCAAACAAACAACACAGAATATAGCAGATAATTATTAAAATTATCATTTCTTTTTGCTGTGTTGTCTTTGTATGGTTAGATCATGGCATAGAAGATTGATACTGTACGAATGAAGAAACCACTCACTCGCAATGATAATATATGCCCAGTATTTAGCATCATTTCACGGATGAGCATATATGTTTTGTTAACGTATGCAGATATCATGAAACATTTTATATCAGTAAGAAAAGAATTGTCTGATGGGCATGCCGAAGAAGCTACAATTAATGAAACAACCAGGAAGATATCTGTTGATCTTGAGACAATATGGCACTGAGCATCAATTCCAGTAATATCCTGTCAGCAAATAATAGCTAAAATAAGAGATTACCATGACAAATATCGCTCACTTATGAAACCGTTTAAACAGAGGTCCAAGGACAAGGAGTCACAGTACCTGAACAAAGTTGAAAACTTCAAAATTGACTCAAATCGAATTTTTGATATTGCTTCAAGTAAATGTAAAGACTTTTCAACATGTGCTTCTGAAAAGAGTCAAAAAGTTCCACCAAATGAAATAATATTCCTTGCAGATCAAAGAACAGAAAGGAAAATGGCTATTGGCAACGTTGATATTAAAACAACAAAGCAGCAGGAAAAGAAACTGAAAAGAAAACTTGCAGATGAATTGAGATTTTATAAATGTGAATCAATTGCAAATGCTCAAACTTTAAAATCGCATCCAGATTGTAGCTTGGAGGATGATTGTAATGATGTCACGTTAGGTGACATCATTACAATCATCCTCCAAGATCATATGAAAATGTTGACTTCATGACAGACTCGCCTAAGTAACCATCATCAACTAATAATACAAGCTCACAAGAAATTTTGAACTCTCAAATACGAACTCCACTATCAACATTAGCTCGTGAATGTGATCGATGAAGAGTATCGGATCGCTAAGCTGCAGCATTAGCATCGGCTGTTTTGGTTGATTATGGCATTATTAATACACATGACTCATCTGATGTTATTGACCCAAGTAAAATTTGTAGAGAAAGACAGAAAAAGAAAAAAATTTTACAAGCTGGTGTGGCCAAAACATTGGAAGGGTTATATTTCGATGGTTGAAAGGACAAAACTCGAAGCCAGATCATTAAAGGAAACAGATATCATCCAGATTTGGAGACCAAGGAGCACGTTGTGTTAATCAAGGAGCCTGGTTCTGAATACCTGGGACATGTTAAAACATCACAGGGATCTTCACAAAGTGTAAAGATTAGCATTATATCATTTTTGAATGCAAATGCTATTGATACCAGTTAATTGGTGGCAATCAGGTATGATAGCACGAATGTCAACACAAGTAATATTGGTGGTGTTATTCGACTTCTCGAGCTTCATTTCAACAAAACTCTACACTGGTTTGTATGTTTATAACATATGAATGAGTTACCATTGAGACATCTCCTGATTAAACTGGATGGACCTACACATGGGCCAAATTCATTTAGTGGTCCAATCGGAAAACTATTGAAGAGCATGGACTTGCCAATTGTCAGTTTTCAACCAATCAAAGGAAATGTGTTGTCCAGCATTGATGCAGATGATCTCAGTACAGATCAAAGGTACTTGCATGAAATGTGTCAAGCAATATCCAGTGGCCAATGTAGTTTTGAATTGGGTAATCGAAAACCGGGACCCATGTGTCAATCTCGATGGATAACAACTGCTAGTCGTATCCTCCGGTTATATGTATCTACAGAAAAGCTAGACAAAGACTTGATCATTCTTGTAACTTACATACAAAAGGTATATGCACCTATTTGGTTTGAAGTGAAGTCTAAGCATTCCTGTAACAGATAAAGCATTCCTGTACAGATGGCAGTCGCCATATGTACAGGAATGCTTAGAAAATATGAATTTAATAATAATTATAATTTCTAACTTTTTGGGGATTTTGGGGGATTTCAAAGTCCTTGTGGCACCTTAAGATAATTTACCAGAGCACTGCAATTTTTACAGAGTATTTCTGATATGAATAGACAACTTTTGCACACCCAGGCAAATGATATTTAATCAAAAAAAAAATTTTTTAATTTTTTCCGTAGATCACTTTTTGGGGATTTTGGGGAATTTCAAAATCCTTGGGGCACCTCAAGATAATTTTCTAGAGCATTGAAATATTTACAGAGTATTTCTGATATGAATAGACAACTTTTGCACACCCAGGCAAAATGAATTTCAAAAAAAAAAATAATATATTTTTAATGTTATCACTGCACCCTACTGTGCAAGGCCTAAAAGTCTTGAATAAGCTAGAATAAGTAACAGTTTAACCAATGTCAGTGGGGATAAAACAAGCTTTTTTAGTAATGGGATTATTTGCCACATAATTAAAAAATATATTGGGTGATAATACCCTTGATACTAATGCATCACTACATAAAACTGTAGTTTAACAAATTAATTTTTTTTAAGGGTCTTTATTATTATTATTATTATTATTATCAAGGGTCTTTATAAATCTAAAATAACTAAATTCTAGCCCACATTTTGGTTGCTATAATATTGAAAAAATCAAATTAATAAAACTATCCAGCTCATACCAGATCCAGATACTAAGTTAATCTAAAATTACTTAATACCCTGATAAATATTTTCTGCCTGGTAATAAAAAAACTAATTGTTGTAAGGTAGAAAATCCTTTTTATACCTACAGATTTTCCATATTTATTTTTATACATTTTACGTATAAAAAATTAAAAAAATTCAATGATGTGTAATTTATGATCAAGCAAAGATATATTTTTCACAGTACTTTCATTGTTTACTGTAGTTGCTGCTTCACTCTTAAAATATTTATTCAAATTTTTTCAAGAAAATCTTTGGAAATTTCTTTCTCTTTTGTAATCATGTGTTCCTCAATCATATAACTTACAGTTTAAGTTAAAAAAGAAAAACAACTTTAATAAGTTAATAATTTGATAAACTTTTAAAAAATAAGAAGACTTTTTTAAAAAATTAATACTGTC